GTCGACCCCTCAGCAGCTTCTGGTATTGTTTGTGCGCAACTTATTGTTTCGTTCATTCTCTGTCTTTGGATCTCTTGCTTCAACCGTTGTTCTATTTCTTTCGCTGCCAGGTCTTGTTTCACTTTGTTGATGGCCTCCGCTGCCGCCTTCTCATAATCTATTGCTAGGTCGTTCTTCGCCGTGGCCTCTACTGCGCTATTACATTGTGTTACAGCTTTCACTGTTTTCGTTGGTAGCTCCGCACTTGGTCTTTCTAGGTTTTTCGTCTCAAATTCACCTTGTCTGTTTCTCTGGTTCTGCACCGCTGCTAGCGCCAACTTGTGTTTTGGATGACTCTGATTCTTGACCGCTTCCCAAAACAACGGACAGTCCATCCTGAAGTGCCCCTCTTGGTTGCAGAAGAAGCATCTTGCACCTATTTTGATGATCAAGCCACTATAGAACTCGTGTTCCTCCATCTGGCTCATCTCTTCCTCATCGGGTGCATATCCCAAACTCTTCATGCCCTGTTTGTATGTCGTGCAATCCGCCACATGATGATCCGTCGACCCGCAGTTAGCACATGACCTGCGTTTGTCCATGTCATCTCTGGGCTTGTACCATAACGACCTCTGTGGCTGACTTCCCCCTTGTGTGTTCCTGTTTTCTGATTACGAGTATTTCTTGGGTTTCATCAGCATGTACTCTCTTGACTTCTGCCTCATCTCTTCTGTAGTTGGTGCACCGTCTTTCGACAATGTATAGTACGTTGCTAACATCGTTCTCAAGTCATCACTCTTTACCCCATCAATTAACTTTGAGGCGATGCTGAAGTTCCTTCGATTGGTAGATTCTTCCGGGTCACTCCTTCTTCTCAAGCTCTCAAGATCATCTAGGAACCTGTCTATCGATTCATCGTCCCTTTGTCTCCTCTTTTCAAATCGCATCATCGCTTGATGACCCTTCATGCCTGAGTCGAATCTGTTTAACAATATTTCAAAGATTTTGTCCGCTGTGTCGCGTTCCTCTTCTTTCTTCGCAACCACGCATTTCAATGCCGTTCCTTCCAGATTGCTCAGTATCGCTGTGCATGCCTGCCTCTCATCGTTCAAGTTGTCTTGTTCTCAGTGCAACCTCATGACTTCTACCGAAGTGTCAATGCATCCATCTGAATCATCTTTGAACTCCTTCGGTTTCTTGAAGGTTTTCCTGGATTTGTTGCCTCCTCTGTCACTCGAGTCGGTGTTCCTCGTGGCGAAGGCTTCTAGGGTCCTGTTCATCATTTCCCAGGTGCTTGCCCAGGTCATGGCATCCGGTCCCACGTTGTTGTGAGTCGTGGAGTCCCCTGGACCACTGGTTGTGTTCGCTGTTCCATTTTTTATAATGGCCCTGGCCCCCACCGGTGCCGTAATCGCGGCCTCCCGGGTTGCTGGTAACGGTGTTGACTGTCGTTTGTTCCTTCGAGGCTCCACGAAGTCCACTCTATTACCTTGTGTCCTCTCTGCAGCTGGCCTGTCTTGTTGTGTTGAATTCCTAAGAATAGCGTCTAGCTTTGTCTGTATTGCACTTGAGCTCTCAGCCTGTTCCCTACTCATCGTATCCATTCTCGTTTCCAAACTCCCTAACTGGCAATTCACTGTGTCATATCGCTGCTTCATTTCTTGCATGTCTTTTCTGATGTTCTTTTCTCGCTCTTCATCAGTGGTTTCTACTTTGTCAGACATCTTCTGAAGCTTTTCCTCCGTCGCTCTCGCTAGATGGAAATAGTTGTCCAAGTACTCATGTTTGTTGTGTCTCATTTCATTCCTTATCACAATTCTATCCTCTTCGCTGTGCTTCAGTTTCTCATCTATCTGATCTAGCTTCGCCATCAAGTCGCTTAACTCAAGAGTTGTCGTTCCATGGTCCGTTGTTGTCCTGTAGTTGGTCACTGGTCCCGATTTTCTCTGACCCTCGTTCTGATCGGTCTCTGTCGTTCTCGTGGATACTGTTCCGAATGTTTTGCTTTTCTCGACTTTCGTCTCCTCCACTGCTGCGTCCTTCGATCTCATTCCGACCATCATTGTTAATCTTTCAGTAAAAGACGTTCTCTTTTGAGACTCATCCTTCACTGTTTCTGGCGTGTTACCTGTTGTGTCTTCCACGTTGTCTATCGGTGAGAACTCTATGGGATTCGGGTTAGGTTCTTCCGCATTAGGCATTGGAGTTGACTCTGTCGTCTTTCCTGCTTCATCCACACTTTGATCAGGTGTCTCTAGATCAATTTCAATGGTGGGTTCTACTCGTTCCCCTTCCGTGCCCTCTTTTGCTCTGTTCTCCGTGGTACTCCTCGTGCTGACCATACTAACTGAAAAGTTCTTCTTTGTTACCTTCGGACCCATTGATGTTGTTTTACGTAGCGACGAGTTATACTTTGTCTTCGCTTCGGTAGATCTTTTTTCAGCTACCGGTACCCTGCTCCGCCTCATTATTTACAATTGTTTCTATTTACAGTAATACTATCTACAAAATTCTACTCTAAGGTTAAAACCTCTTTTTATATATAAAAAAAAATTATAAAAAGAAGTTGACAATTTGCTAAAAACAACTTTCCTTAAGCTCTTGAAAATTTTATCTATTTGGTTAGGATAGAGAATATGATTTTACAATTGGTTACTTCAACCTGACTTAGTACTCTTTTAGTAACCCCCTTCTTAATGCTGTTCCAAGACTTTCTCTCTACCGTCTCAAGACTATTCAGTGTTGTCCCAGTACTTCTTGTTAGTGTCCCCAGACCGCTGTCCCAAGACCCTTGCCCTAAGTCTGCTGTCCCAAGACTACTGTCCCAAGACTAGTGTCCCAAGACTAATGTCCCAAGACCAACGTCCCAAGACTAGTGTCCCAAGACTAATGTCCCAAGACCAATGTCCCAAGACTAGTGTCCCAAGACTAATGTCCCAAGACCAATGTCCCAAGACTAGTGTCCCAAGACTAATGTCCCAAGACCACTGTCCCCAGACCAATGGCCCAAGACCAATGTCCCAAGACCACTGTCCCAAGACCACTGTCCCAAGAACAATGGCCCAAGACCAATGTCCCAAGACCAATGTCCCAAGACCAATGTCCCAAGACCACTGTCCCAAGACCAATGTCCCAAGACCAATATCCCAAGACCACTGTCCCCAGACCAATGTCCCAAGACCACTGTCCCAAGACCACTGTCCCAAGACCACTGTCTCAAGACCACTGTCCCAAGACCAACGTCCCAAGACCACTGTCCCAAGACCAACGTCCCAAGACCAATGTACCAAGACTGTTTCGTACCAAGACTGCTCTGGTCCAAGACTGTCCCAAGGCTGCACTGTCCCAAGACTGTCCCAAGACTGCTCTGTCCCGTGACTGTCCCAAGACCGTGCTGCTCCAAGACTGTCACCAGACTGTAATGTCCCAAGACTTCTTCGGTACTGTCCCAAGACTCGTCACTGAGTGTCTGGATATCGGGTCTCTTCTTCTTCGTTGTAGGGACTATTGAACCACTGTACCTTTTACCACCACTTGAGCTCTAGTAAAAATTTTCCCAAAATCCCTATCTTACTGGTCAAAACCCAAATACTGTCCCCCCTGTATTTGAAACTCTAAATTCCCCACAGGTATCTTGTGATCACCTGTTCGTTAAAATATCAACAGCAAATTTTCACCAAACGTAAAAATTTAAACTGGAAAAATTTCAAAAACAGATGGGTGAATTCTCCTGAAATTCAAGGTTGACCAATGTCAATCTTTGTCCGAAAAAATGTCTGGTACCCGATTGCCACGCGTTTTCCTCCCTCCTGCTAGCGATCTTATGGGGCTCACATGGGGCTCAAATTTAAATTAGGGACTCACATGTTGATGCACTCGAGTAAAAGGAGTAATTAAATTGGTAAGCAACTCAAGAATTAGATAATATAACTAGATAAGTTTAATACTGGTCAGTTTTGGTAACAGAAGTAAATTCTGTCTCTAGAATTTGAGTTTTTGTTTGAACCATTGGGACACTCAAGCTTTCCACCTTTCCATTGAAGGTTCACTCTAGTTTGTTCCGAATAGTTGTTCTCTCTTCTTTTTATTATCTCTCCCCCTATTTCTGGATAAGACAGCTCTACTCGTGTCTTATTTTATATCTGGAAATTGCGAATAGCAATTTCCCGCTGTTCTATTCAAGCACTTTCCCGCGATTGTAAACTCGGATGTTCTGATTTTTCTCTCTTTGTTTTCAGTTGGTACGAGAAAACTGAGCATGACAGGCTCCATTCGAAATTTTGAAAATTAAAACTTCACTCCAAAATTACGTATTTTTGTGTCTCTCAAGGTCAAATTTCCAGATATGACCGACTGGCACAGACGTAATAATTCTGAGAAACGTCAAAAACGGTCATTTTGGAAAAAACCAAAATAAAAACAACAACGATAGCTGCGACGACGACAACAACGAGAAAAGTGGGAATCAGAATCGGAGAAAAGCAGAAGTAGCAGAGACCGCTCCGAGTTGCAACTATTGTGCCGCTACAATAGTTGCAAGGCCGTTGCGAACAACGGTGAAGGGTAGAAGACAGCCTTCCGGAAGGAAAATAAGGGTCTTATTTCCCCGGATTCAAGAATCCGGAGGGCTCTCGGGTTTGGAACTCATATTTTCTTATACAAACTTTTAGCTTCGCTATTATGTCCTGAATTGAATTTAATTAACATCTGAATTCATTTTACGAGGATGAGAAGCTAGGAGTTGGGGGAAAGGGTTGATCGATCTTCGATGGAGATGATGATTTTTATCTACTGAACAAAAACAATAGTAATATAATAAGTAGTAGTAGCCCTGTTTTTAGGAGTGACCTTTGGTCTGGGGATACTGAGACCCAGCCATGAGCTCACTATTTCTGCATGTAATTAAGTTAATTTGAGCGTTCTGGTCGAAGCCGGAGAGCAGTAACGTTTTTGTCGACCCGATGTTGAAAAGATCACCAAAAGAACTGGCTTGGTAGAGACGGTGAAAAGCATGTAGAGCTCTGTTTAGACGTTGGCCAGTCGTCTGAGAACCTAGCTTTATTTTCCGTCGATATGTACTTCCGGGCGAATGTTACATTAAGCAAAACTGAGCACTTCGGGTTGTCATCACGCTCTATCAAGTTTCGAAAGGAGTGGTGTTCTGCAAGCTTAACAGGGCAAGCTTAATGAAGCTGATGTATCTCAAATTGTAAGAGAACCTACATTTGGATCGTACCTACATTTCTAATGTGAAGTTTTAGAATAATGTGAAATACCTTGCTGTTTTTCGGTCAATTGGGGATGATGTGATTCTGGCATAAGTTTGTGTAACGAGATCAGCTTCGCCTCGGTGATAAAACTTTTTCACAGATATACTGATTGTTGAACCGTTGTTTGCTATTTTATAGATTCAAAAATGAGTTGGAGACTGTGCTTACAAGACTGTGTTAACAAAGAAGGTGCTAGACCAAGCGCAAAAAGTGATCCGGAAGAAAAGCAGAAACAACAGCAAGAGGAACTTGCTCTTTTTACACAAATGTATGAAGAGCAAAAGTCAGCTTGTAAATCAAAGAGTTCATCATCAATACCTAGATTTTATTTCAAGTTACCAACAGATGAAGAAGTTTTGCTGCAGAAATTACGCGAAGAGTCTAGGGCCGTATTTTTACAAAGAAAAAGCAGAGAACTGCTAGGTAAATCAAACTAACGAATAAGTTCTTCAATATGCTTTATATATGCTTGAAATATATACTGGGCGACATTGCAAACGCAACAGTAATTTTTTTTCGATGAACCAAGAAAAAAAGTTTCACCGTCAGAATTTTTCGACAATTTGCTAAATTCATGTGCTTGCCCTGATGGATGACAGCAGAGTTTGAAGACTTGCTTAAAAATTCAAAAATAATTTTTTTTGAGATCAAAATAATGCAAAAATGGCCTATTTTTCCCGATTCTTTTCATGAAGCTAACTTTAGTACTGTAATTTATTGGGCGAATAAACTAGAAAAAACAATAAACCTATAAACCTACCTTTTCATTTGGATCAAAACTGGGTTTTCCTGTTTAATTTCGGGCATAATTTTTTCAAACCTTTCAGGAAACTCAATTTTAAAGAAGACTCATGTGTAAATAAGGAGCTGAAATTGGATCAAATTTGATTCAAATGCGTAACTTTGTAAGATTTCAGTTGTTTCAACCATTTTAATTTTCAGGAAAATTTTAGCGAAAGTTTTGATGATACCTTTTCTATGTCACTCAGTATAGCAAGCAATATATTTCCTTTTTATCATGAAAGAAATCCCTTTTCAGCCCTCATGCCCAAGAACTCTACCCGACGGTAGTTTTTTTCCACTATATGAGCCCAATTTTTGCAAGTTATGGAGGAGCAGCGCCAGGCTGTACTCAAAAATGAACACTGAAAACGCCAAATGAAAATATTTTGATAGTGTGGATCATGCTAACATTTAGAAAAGAAATGTTGGTTTGTAAAGAAATGTTGCTTGCTTTTTGAACCAAACAAACTGTTGGGTGACGTAGCTCTTGTAAAATATTCCTTATTCGCTGTACACGAAACAGACCTCTGAACCATAAGTATGTTAACATTCGTTTTTTTATCTGTTAAGAGCAATGAACGAAGTGAGTGTTCGTATATAGGTCTTGTTGATTTTTTTCAGGAAAAAGTCTTATAAGTTGTTCACGCTCAATTTTGATTTTTCCTGGTTTGACTTCTTTCCAAGTTCAGTGCATTTCCATTGTTGAAAGGAAGGCAAACTCCACTGTTGAACAGCAAAGTGTAAAGGTAGCAAAAAACGTGATCGACTTCTAATTTCGATAATTGGAAATATCAGATTTCCCAGCGAAATAAAAGTTTTGCCTATTGATCCAGATTTCTCAAATTGGGTTAAGTTTAACAAAAAAATGTCCATCATAAATTGTTCTACAAAATCATAGAGCTTTAAGGCCATCTGTCTTTCTTCGAAATTCAATAGTTGAACGATTTCGAAAGAACAAGACAGTTTTTTCCATTTTCCTTGCGTTCATTACTCTTTTCCAACTGTCAGTTGGCTATGTTCTGAAAGTTCTGACCATACTCTTAAACAAACTGCAATTTTTTTTTCAATTTGATGTCAGTGTTTGTCCGTGGGCGTGATAAATGTATCTGGGTCATGTCAACAACACGCTCTTGAGTTAGACCGACGAAACGACAAAAGTTGACCCTCCGGCAATGGCTATATGTGGAGTAGCAATCATTCGACTGATTGAGATCCTCTTTAAAACCAAAAGTCGCTCAAAAGTGGTACGAAGACGAGAGCATTGCGGGTGATTTAAAAAGCCTGTGATTGGTCCTCAACGACCTTGGAAAACGCGAAAACTCGTCAGCGTGCGATCATTATGTTGAAAAGCAAATCGAGACGACAAAGAGACTAACACAAATGCCTTCCGAATTAGTCAAAACATCGCCCCAGAATGCCTAGTCATGTTTCACAAAAGGTGTGCTGAGTTTTTTTTGCTAGAATTACTCCTGAAGACTTACAGAAAACGGATGCAATAGAAAAAAGCGTCAGACATCTGTTAATTCCCAGTTTCACTGGTAAAAAAGATAAAACTGGAGAAGATCGCAGCCTCCTCGCTCGTCATTTGAGAATGGGAGGTCTAGATCTCCCATTAAACAAAGACTTCTCAAAAAACTACAGTGGTCACGAGAAATATGTGAACCATTAAGAACACCCGAAACAGAACCAGCTAAAATAAATCAAAAACAAAAAAAAAGAACACAACGCTCTCAAAAAAAGCGTTTTCCTAAAAATTGTTCGTCTGAGAAAAAATTAACATTTTGCTTGGCATCACTAAAAAGCATTGAACTGGTTTTTCGAAAAAGTTCCAGTTTCTCTCAAATCCGAGTTAAGAGATGGCATACTCTTTAAAGCATATCTGGGAACCGCCGAAAACGCCACACAAATGTTCTTACGGGGAACAGTTCTCACCCCCTATATTGCCGCGAAGTTACACACACCCAAGATAACGAATTCTGCGAGGTTCCCAGAAGCAGTCTGTCTTAATGTTAAGATAGAGCCCGGTCTTCAATCGTTAGAAGGCAAATCCTTTCACAACAACACAAACTCTATTTTTGCTCGTACTGGAGGAGCGGCGACAGGCTTCATTGAAGCAATCCATGTGACATCCCTTCATGATGTCATTCATTCTTATTAATCAGTTGAACCGAATATATTACATAATTCACCTTGATGATAAAATAGAGCTGCATCATATATATTTATTTAACAATGTAAACATTGATGGTAATTAATACCAATCACTGGAATCTTATATCGAGCTAGAAATCAATTGGAGACAAATCAACTGAATAAAATATTCTAATCATGCTCTTACTTGCGCCGATCGGCTTGCGAGATATCAGAAGCTAGGAATCGGAACCAGCATCCTTTAAAGCAAGATAGGTCTTAACCGCTCGAGACATATCTAAAATAATGAATCCAATCTAAATACAATTGATAGCCAGTAGCGCTAAATAAAATTACCAATTGAACAGCTCGCATTGCACTAAACGACAATATATCCATATTATCCATCCGCCAGATACGGTATATTTTATGGTGACTTTCGCGGGAATTTCTACTTCTGGATTCAAAACAGTCATCGGCAATTCCAACCATCATAATTCGAGCAGAAAGTGACAACTTTGCTGACGCAGAGCAGCGAAAAACAGCTTGATCAGCCCAGCAATGCTCAGATGTTGGCGGCAGAGCAACATTCATTAAACAACTAACGAGAAAGAAAGGAAAAGAAGACACTCACAACTTTTCAACATCTCTGGGCTGACAACTTCCTCAATCTACAGAAGCAGATATGTGGATTGTGTCCTACAACTTCTCTACATTTGGCTCCAGTCAGATGGTATGTCAAGTGAGCTTCTGACAAGGCAGAAAAGGAAGTAGATGAAAGGTTTTCAACGCCAAAACAGTTAGTAAAACAGATAAACTCAAAACTCCCAATTGCAGTAAATTGAAATTGTAACTAATAAGTTCCCCAACCACAAAAAAGTGAAGTAACGGAAATATTAGCAAACCTGACGGCAATAATAACCAAAAACAGAATAGCAAAAGCTGCATAAAGTATAAATAATCCAAAGTTGCGAAAGTCTAGCAAAATTTTCTTGTGTTCCCCTTAAATCGACTAAGTGCTGTGCTTTATCATCAACTGTTTCATAAACTTGATATTCATTCAATTGTAATAAGATGGCACACGCGCAAATTTCGGTCGAACCTTACGGAGGAACGGAAACAGATGACGGAAACAATTGCTCATCTTTCAGCAGTTTGAGCAATTGTTCCGAGGATACATCGGAGTACGGGAATCGACCCTGGCCAACAAGCGAACTTCTTACAACTACATCTACGAGAAGCGGCACTACGGTTTTACCAGACGCTGCCAGCAGCAATCAGAGCGAACGTGGAGAACAGCCTCGCAGCTCTAAGGGATCACTTTTGCAAGCCGCAGCTCCAGGAAGTCCACGTACTGAAGTTAGAACAGCTCCAGTACGACTCCAAAACCGATTCACCCGAGAACTTCTTGGTGAACTTGACGAATAAAGCGCAACGAGCGTATCCAACGCCAGATTTGCCAGCTGTCGACCCATTCGATGTTGCATTAAGCGGAGCATCATTAGTAGCAGACACGGCGAGATTTCATCGAGAAACTGCACAAAGACAAGAAAGAATAGATGCAGTAAATGATAATCGCAATGAACAAATTAGACGATTGTTCATAAAAGGAATGCCAAACTGGCTGCGATCAAAATTGATGGAGCAACCAAAAGCAACTACTGTCCTAGAATTGTGTAATTTGAAAAAGAAGCAAATCATGATTCGAGAAGTATGCCGAAAAGAAGATTACCCGGAAGACGGATTTAATGAAGTAAATGACAGAGTCTCAGAAAATTTAATCAGTGCTCTCACAAAATTGTCCACAAATCAGGAACAAATTGAGAAGCAGATCAACGAAATGAGATCACAAATAGCTGAGCAGTCAAAGAAACAATCGAATCCGCCTTTTCAACAAAACAAGAACAACACCAACCAAAATGGTCAGTTTAGTGGTAATCAAAATCAAAATAATTTGCCTGGACAGCAACAAAGTGGCAGGAAAGGAGAAAACAGAAATAGTTGGCAAAATCAATTTGGATTTAGCAATAATCAGCCTAATTTCCAAAATATGGGAACAATTGCACCTCAACAATATCCTCCATGTACCTATACCAACAGTACAAAAATATGCAGCAAAATCAACCGATAGTGCAAATCCAACCAGCACAGGTACAGCCAAACGCGAAACTGGAAACCAGACAGCGCAAGCTGAAATTCAATTTCCCGGTGGACCTTTTGCACCAAGGGTTCGACCACCAGCAAAACGCTGCGACATCTGTGGAAAGTTTTATCACACAGCAAGTCAATGCTGGTGGAGACAAAAACCACAAGGACAAGATGCAACGCTCATGTTTCCAAATGAGCCAAAAAACTCATAAAGCCACCGAGTCAGCTCCCCAAATCATCTCAATCATCTAAGTTATCAAAACAATCAATTCAACCCGATGAGATAATCAACCTTTACGCAATAATTCCAGCGGAAGGAACAGTTTTGACGTACACAAAATTACGATTCTCATCGGGATTAC